GGAACCATGGGTGGTGGGAGCAAAATTTTTTATTTGGCCCCAGGTGTTTCCTTCTTTTCAATTCAAAAAAGGTTTTGAAAGGAGAGGCCGAAGTTGACCTTCCAGGAAAAAAAAAAGGGCATGGTGGGGACCTTAAACACCATTTTCCCTACCCATAACTTTTTTTTTTAAGGTACTTCTAAAAAGTAAACAATTCCTGGTTGGACCCAGATCTTTTAGGTCATCCAGGAAAGGAGTTTCCTAATCTTTTTCCCAAATATCTTTTAGAAAACATTCTTTTTGATAAGAGAAACAAAGATTAGTGTCTAAAGATTATTTTCATAGACTTGATTTGAATATCAGGTAATCCATATTCAATTCTAACGGATTGAATATCTCCAGTTTCAACATATTCTGACCAAATGTGACTGGCTTCACCAACTACTTGCATAAAGTAATGATACCACATATCATAGTTTTGGACACCAAGTAGTTCAATGGGAATAAGGTCGGTTGCATTGGCAGGGCTCATAACCTGTTTGCGCAGGTTCGAAACCAGGACGGCACCTATTTCTTGAGATTGGAATAGGTGAGTGTTATTGGACTGTTGATCAGGGTGGGACATGGTTGTACTGGAGTGATAGTGGATATATTAACTGAGATCTAAGGTATAAGTACAATTATACGTTAGTTGTTTATTCAAGCTCTTGGTTTTTTATAAATTCTAAATATAGTATACAAAATATAAAATATAATTTAGTTCATAAAGTGAACATTAGAAAAGAGAAAATATTTTCTAGAAACTTGAAATCTGGTCTGCTTATATACCTTTTGAAAACTAACAGTTACCCTGAATGTGTTCCTGTCAGCAAAGTATATCTTTCAGACATAGGGTTAGATCTGGATAACTTAAGATTGTCATCTACTGATTCCCAGAATCCAACACAACGAAGCTGCAGATGCTGTTGCTGTTGTAGTTGTAGCAAGGGCAGCCACAGTTGAATTCTTGCCGCTGGCTCTTCTTCTGCTTCTGCTATTCTTGGAGGTCCCGCCATTGCTTGGGTCCTCTCCATTATTCACTTTCTTTTTTCCCTCTTTGCTCATCGTTAAATTTTACAGATTTGCCAGTACCCGCTGACAGTTCTCGTTCTTATTTTATTTTACCAAACGTCCCTGATATATTTCTAGACGCCGCCGACCAGTTCGGGAGCAGTTGTTGTTGTTATTGTGTGAGTAAACTCCCAAGTGCTTTCCAGTTCTGGTGGGTTCCTATCCAGTCCCAGGAATCCAGTCGTCTTTATATACCAGACGGTTTAGATCTGCGGGTGCTGATGCCATTCTTTGCCGGCGGCGGGATCGTCCTTCCAGTTTTCCTTTCGCTTCCCCTTTTTTTTCTTATTTCTTGTTTCTTGTTTTTATGTCTCATCTCTTTTTGTGTCTGTTTCCCAAAAATTTCCCCAACTTTTAAAATTCCTTTTTTTTAACTTTTTGTTGTTTTGGGATATCTCCAACTTGCCCAGGTGGCGGGCGGTTTGTCTCGGAGAAACCCTTTTTTCTTTCCTTCTTTGTGTTTGTGTTTTGTGTTTGTGTTTTTGTGGTGCGTGCATGAGTGCGTGTGTGTGTTTCTCTCCCTTCCCTCAAAAGATACATCGGCGGCTAATTAGTCTGACAAGAGAGAGAGCATTATTACAATCTCCCCACTCCACTTCCCAACGCAGCAATACACAAACACGACACGAAAAGGAAAAGAACGAGGAAAACGTGACCTACTCCTTTCACAGATTTTGCTCACCATAACGGAACTCTACTCCAAACCATCATTTAAACAATACATAAAGTATACACAAACATGTATTATATTATATTATATTATATTATATTATATAAAGACCACTTAGCAGATTATATTCACATATTAGGATCATCAATTGTCTCCTGGTAACGACTGAAAACATCGTCTTTAACTGGTTTCTTCTCAGTACCACTACTCTCACCAGCGTCACCATCAAATGACCCACCTCTGGGGGTGCTTTCTTGTTCAACACTCTCACCACCACTCTCCTTAACAGTTTGGGACTGACTATCAGCCTTATAATTGGCTTCTGACTTCCCTTTTGGCTCGTCAACATAATCTTGGGCTGCCTGGCCCTCCCCTAGTACCCTATCGTAATCGTGATAATCGTGATACCCAAAAGGTCTTTCCTTCTCATTCGTATCTCTGAGATGACTGTCACCTTCACATACTTGGAAGTTTTATTCAATTAGTTAGTAATAATGCAAATAATAATAATAAATGTTTTCTTAAAATATAATAATTAATAGTATAAGTGTAGTGTTTAATGCCAAGTTGTTGTTGTTATTGTTGCCGTTTATTCTTATAGACGTGTGATTATTTAAGGATCAATTGGTTTGTTTCTCTTTATCCTAGTGAAGAACCTGCTCTTCGACGTCACAGGAGGTTGCTGTTCTCTATATTGATTATCTAGTGTCGCTACATGATCGATCTCACCATTGTCTATAGCCACTCCTGGCGATGCTGCTGGTACTGTCGGTGCTTGTGCTGGCGCTGGTACTACCAGAGGATGTGGTGGTAGATGTGGTGGGGGAGCTCCATAACCTACTTGGGAATACGTTTCCATTGGATACTGACCAGTAATGTTATTAGGATAAATTATTTTGTTTTTCTCAAATAGACTAGTATAATTTCTCAATGAATATATAGAGTTAAGAGTGTCAATAATCAGAATAGCTACCGAAGCCCACGCAAACGCAAAATTATTCAATCCCATGGCTGCTGATAAATTCGATGAATGGAATACATCTTGAGCTTTAGCATAACAAGCTGTATACAATACAGTCGACACCAGAGTGAGAAATAAGGCCACCCATCGTAACACTGAATAACTTTTGAATAATCTGGGAGTTTGATAAAAATTAGTATGAATAGTCCCAGCAAAACTTAGTATATTAAAAATAAGGCCTACTAACCACAGACCCCACGCTGTTCTTGATAGATAGAAATATGTATTTCTATTCTTGATAAATGATTTTGGCACTCCTACTGTAGTAAGGAAGTTATCCACAGGAGAGAAGGGTGTAGCTGCTTCACTGTAGGTACAAGAAATTATATCACCAGCACTCGATATCGAACACCATCTATAATTAAACCATCTTGTCTTATTTGGTGCAATCCCACCAATACCTGAAGTATTCGCATCAAACCAATAGAAATCTTTAAGTGTTCCTGACGTAGTAGAACCTGATAGAGCAACAAATGACATTAACAACCCGGCACCAGAACTACTTACATGAGATATAATAGTTACTAACGTTGTTGGATCCATCTTGGAATTTGTTTTATTATTTAAAGTATAGTATTAATCTAGTACGGTTCTTATATAGTCAAAAGATAAGACAAATTAAACAACCAAGATCAAGATCAAGAACAAGAATCATCAAACTGTTCATCATAATTCATCCATAGATGCTTCACTTATATATGTAATCCCATCCTTCATCATTCATAATAAGGAAGATCAACAAACTCCTGTCATTAATATACATTCATACCCCGCCATTATTGCATATAGATAGAAACTTATCACTCCTAAACATGTACATATACCTATACATATACATATAAAAATGTATGAAAATTCAAGAACTAAATACCCACTTAACTCTCATATATAACCTCAACTTTAATGCGGAGGAAGATCTTCTTAGAGTGCACTTCTTCAAATAGAGGTTTGAGGTTAAACCTTAAAGGATACTTTACTTAATAGTTTCAAACTACAACAATGTTGCGAGAGAGGGGAGAAGAAAATATAGTAAAATCTATAGCAACAAACAATAATAATAACATCTGCGATGTCAAATCAAGATCATGAAATTTTTAATAACAAGGCTATGACTTTTTTAAAAATGACTAAACCAGGAGAGGTCTACAACATCATTAATGATACACATGGGTTGTTTGCTATCTTAACATATTCTACAAGTTATACTATCATAAAGGGGAGAGAGAGAGAGAAGAATACTTGAAGATGAAAAGTGAAGAAGGAACTATTACCTAAAAAATAACAATCATTCTTCTTTATATTCTTATTTCTATCTAAAGTCAAATGGACTATTTATTGTTCCTTTTTAACAGTAATCACATTACTTACTTGAACATTCTCTGAATATTGATCAACAATATGTTTGTTGGAGGTGCATGTATAAGGGTTCCAAATTGCTAGCTTACTATTTAATGATAGTTGTACTAATTTTCTTTTAATTCTTAATACTACTGATTCATTGATTAAATCATCTATTTTTGCAATTATTGGATTTGATTTATCCTTGATAATATCGGTTAACTGTGTTTCCGATATTTGAATATCTAATAATTGCTTTAAATTATCGACATTGGTGATATCAATTCTTAACATTCTTGTTGGATCAATGAAGTTATTTGTAACGAAATCATTAGTTACCAATATGCTTAAATATGACATGTTATATTTTATATTCATTATCTGGCAATCGATTTCATAAACTATATTATCCTTTGGATTGGCCAGGTTGAGTTCATTGAAATCATCACCTTTTACTAATTTCTCATTATTGTATTGATTGATATTTCTAGTTACATCTAAGTGACTTCGCACTTCGTAATCTTCTAACTGTGAAATGGTATCAAAGTCATCATCAGAATCTAAACTTTCATTAATGTGGATTTCATCAGGAGTAACTTGAGTTTCATATTTTAATGTAATAGTTTCATTACTTTGTTTGACTAATGGCACACAGATTGCATAACTATGGAAATTCCAAACTAATGCCCTTTGTGGTATTCTTTCTAATATCTGTTTATGGATAGATTCTAATTGTAATTTTTCATCAATTTTCAAATTCTGAATACCTTCATTTCTAATTAAACTGCATTCTCGTAAAATTGCATTTAATTTACCGTTGAACATTTTCACTTTTAAAGATAATTTGCAAATTATACCTTTATGAGTTAAATTTTCATTGTCATTAATGAACATTTTCTTAATTTCATAACCGTAAGCTTCTATGATTGATTTTTCAAATTTTTCAAATTGATTTAAATACATTACAACTCTAAACCCCTCATCTATATCAATTTTGTTGTTGTAATCGATTAAAAACCTATCAAATAGAAAATTTTGAGTAACGTTATTCTTGGTGAAGTCAGTGAAGATTAGTTTTGCGAAAGATTTATGCTCAAAACTACATGAGACCAACAGTCCCATCATGGTGACATATTTAATTTCACTTTCATTAAGCACCAAATCTTTGAATTGTATTAATGGATCGATGCGTGAGGGGTTTTTACGATCATTCTTATTTGGGGTGGATTGTTGTGGCTTGAATGATGTTGGTGGTATTGATTCAGTTGAACTGGACAATAGATTCCTACTAGGCATAAAACTTGAAGATGGGTCTAGGTTTTGTATGCTTGTATTTTGTGACTGACCGGATATATTAACGGTTTGAAAAGTCCAATAAAAAGTATGAAATGAATTCTCTAACTGTAGTTTTGCTCTTTCTAACCTGATGAAAAATTCTGTGGAGCTTATTACTTCTCTGAAACTTTGGGAGTCATTGACCAATCTACCGAAAAATTTATGAATTTCAGATGCATCCAAAATTAGAACTTCAATACAATTGCTGTTTGGTATTAGAATTTGCCTCTCGGCCTCAGTTTCCCATTCCCTTGGTATAATATATAAGCGTAAAATGGTATCCTTTAAATCTGATAAATCTTTAAAATCAGAGGGATACGTACCTGCAATTGTACCCGTAATAGAATGAACTTCACCTAGAGGTGCATCAATAAATACCGAAGATTTGGCCACAATAGGTGCCGGCGACGTAACTATCTCTGATAATTTTCTTTTCTTTGATAGGTTTCTTTCAACATTACGGAACGTCTCAAAAGCACTACTGGTTGCAGGTCTTTGAATTTGACTAACACTTGACTGGGCAGTATCAAAATATTCATCATCTATCTCTGATTTTACTTGTCCATTAAACCCACTGGATTCCCTTGAAAGAAATGACAATTCATTAGACTTCAAAGAGTCGATTACCAGTACGAAATCTTCGGGCAAAGCGAATGGTATTTCGTCAAAACTAAAACTCTCTGTTGAATCTTGATCCAAGTCAATAAGGTATTTTATAATATTTGTCACTTCCTCATTTCCTGACTTAACGAACCTTGTTACAGTTTCTAGATTAAGCGGTTTTATGTCATCAATTGAGTTTTTAGAATTATAAACTTGTAATTGCAGTATACAAATTTTAGTTAGATGAATAGCAGCAAACTGATATGGTTGCTTTTCGAATTCAATTTCTATATTATAGAACCTGCAAATCAACGAAGCACATATTTTTGCAACTTGATAATTTTTAGGGTCATCGCTAATAAATATTGAGTACAGGTGGTCACCATCATGTAAGGTCAATCTAAATTTATTTTCCTCCACCTTTATGCAGGTTAGTAACCCGTAGAACTGACGAGTTGTCATTGCCACCTATAATGATCAGATAACCAACATTATGAATTGATAATAGTCTATCTTGCGTTTATAGTGTTCGAGATTCATTATTGTTATATAAATGCGATGAGATGAAAAGAGGTGAACGCGTAAGGGAAAGAATAAAGAACTAGTTACGCGTAAGTATCATCACGTGACTACATAAACCAATAAGTACGCATGGTTACGTGTGTATATCATTATCACTGAGGTGAGGGACTGAACTGAAACAGAGTATGTCGATTCACGAAAAAGCCAAGTGCTAGACATCAAATGCAGGACGATATACAGTTCTATATACTTACCAATGAACTGGAACGAAATATTACATAATGGATTGCGAGTTGGAATGCTGGGAAAGTGATCTTTGAATCAGAGGAAAACATGGACGGGCACGAGCCCAAAACTCCTAAAATAACAATGAATACACGGCTAAGGAAACAGAATTTTAGGACAAGTATGAGGTTGCTACACAGGAAGAACATGTGATACAGGGTAGATGAGTTGTGCATATCTAGAGTTAAATAAAAGACTAATTGTTATTACATCCATCATTTGAATAAAAAACCATTAAATTTATGCAATAATATAACTTATATTCAATCGGTGTTAAATCTTTTTATACTCCAATAAGATAGGAATCAAATTAATTTATATACAGTTTATTTAACCTAAGCTAAAGAAGGCATTATCTGATATCAATTAAAATCTAAATATATTAAAATTAGAAGGTATACAAAATAAATAAATAAATATATAAAGAAACAGATAAACGAAATATAAGCGCTGCAAACAACGAAGTTTAATCGATTGGATCAGATTAATTAGTATGGTTATTCCTTGTAACTTCACTTTTAGTTCTTTTGTGGTTTATTAGCGTACTCAATGTGTTGAACATAAGCTGCTCCTTTAGTAGGTGTAACAGTGACTGATGTCCTTGATGTAGTTGGGGATAGAGGAAGAACGAAATCATCAGGAAAATCGGTGGTTATCCAGACAGTGGTTTCGACAATTGGAACAGAAATTATATAAATTGTTTCTGTTGTTTCCAAACCATCTGTACCAGTAAACGTGGTGGTGCCATAAGTTGAAGTAATAAAATCAGGAAGATTCTCGACATATGTGGAAATCCTTGTACTTGCATTCCTAATTGGTGTTTGAACAAAGTAAACGGTATTCGAGGTAATTTCGTATTCAACACATTTCTTTTCGACAATGACAGTTGAATAAGTGATATCAGATGACCCAGTCCAGTAGCTAGTACTAGTAGTTTGGGTGTTTACAGTTACAGCACCAGCGGGGGATAAGGTGACAGTGTTAGATCCAGAACTGTGTTCTGACACTGTTTCACCAGAAACAGAAGCGTCGTTAAAAAGTAAAATGGTTATAAAAGACAAAGTATTAATTAAACTTAATTGAAAATTGAACTTCATGTTTTTTGGTTTGATATTTTGTCGATGGAGAAGATTTGAGTTAGTTTTCCTTATTCTTATGAGATAATATTGTAATTGATGATTCGGGTTATGGGAATACAAACATTGAACTAATAAAGTTATGAAGGTAGTTCAATCCATTAAAATAGATTTTTCTTCACCTTTATATATGATTACTAAACTGAAAAAACTTGCGGTAATAAAATCAATAATGTTTTCGAGATTCAAACAGTTGTTAAAGTTTTAGTTTATGTTTCATTAGTTTCTTTTGGAATAAAGAAAGCCTCGTTAATTGTCTAGTATTATTAGATACAGCCACACCCCCATTTAAAACTGATTTTACCTCATTGGTCTTAAATCATACGATATTATCCCTCAACTATGATCATTACTTTCAACAGCAATTATCAATTTAGAATTTTGTTTAGCAGGGTTTGCACTAATAAGCCTGCCGATGTCAATTTCATTATTTGTAAAATTTTATATTTTAGATGCTCTTCAAGGTTATAATAGTACTGGTCATTAAGACCAACTTATTTAACGAGCTTGAAATTAGAAGTTGAGGTTTAAAACATGAAACCATTGCTGATGTTAAATATCATATTGCCATTGGATCAAAGCAACCTCATTATATAGGACTCAACCCATTGGATGTACAAACTGAATGTCTGTATTGATTGCTAGCCTTTTGGTAAAATTGAGATATTATTCAATTATAGATTTAATTTCGTGTAGGTTCAAATAAAGGCAGGTCTGTGTTTATGCACTGGAATCTTTTGGTGGAGATGTGTATGATAAATTAAATATATAATTAATTAGTATACTATAGCTTCTTCTATACTGAATAATATACCATACTCTACAATAATACACAATATCATACCAAAATATATAATAATACGCAATGGTCGCTTTTAATAACAATATTGAGAATATGAAACTACATTGTAGTAATAATACATATCTGGTCAGCTATCAAGGTTCTTGCGATGTAACCTCAAAACAATACAGGCCATATAAATCATGAAAAAAGTATTAAAAATGATTTAACAGAAATGTCTCTACAAAATTTTGAATTTAACAATATTATAATCAAAGGCTCCCATACTTTTAACTTGTGAGAGAGTTTGAGGTTGCCCAACAAATATAACTTGTGGCTTTGCACCATGTAAACTATGGAAGAATATAAAAGAATATTAGATATTCGCTGAAGCTTCATAGAACAAGAAGTATTTTCTACAGAATATTTTAGACTTTTGGCAAAAATGTTCAGACTTTCGGTTGGCATTTGTCCAGTTGCTTGTCGTAAACGTAACTGAAACAACCAGGCCACCACAGGAAGCTACCCATGACACCCCTTTGTCAGCTAATGTTTTAGAAGTTAGATCTAAAAAAGCTTTTCGTTTCTTTTAAATCAAACCTATGTCCTAGGTTAGTCCATAGATATTTATACAAAAAAGGTAAATTGTGATAAGTACCTCATCTTTTCTTAGGAGATCTCAGTGCTTGAATCAACTCTCTCCCTCTGATTCCTCTTATTGCATTGGATTCACTCTAAACACTCAATTGCATTTAGATTTAGATTTGAAGTGGCTTTTTGTTAGTTATATTGGCAATGTAATGAGTTCATCTTCACTTTTTAATTTCAATCGTTTCGTTGGTTCGTTCTTGGTCAGTCATTGATTCTTGTATCTGGTTATCCGTTATTCAATTGACTCAATTGCATACTATAACCTATCCCATCGTGAGCTCATCTCTTTCTTATATGTTAAAGTGAATAATATATACTTTTACTAGTTGAATAATACAATTTCGAAGTTTTCAATATTTGTCCATAAATGCACGGCTATATCTCTGGTGGTGAGATTTCTATGATGTAATTAGATCTCTTAGCATGGACTACACAGGATATTGCCGGACAGTATAGGTGCATGTCAGTTTCCTCATTAGGACACTTACATACGAGGGTGTATCGATTACGCTTTAGTACAAAATGATAAAATAAAGAAAGAGGACATTGTTATGTTTCATCATAAGAATGTCACTAATAGAGTGCTAATACATCGTATATAAAGGACATAGTTCGTGAAGCTAAGATATACACTTCTTGCTATTAAACAAAGGACCAGAGAGATCTTTATATATATTAATACCACTGTATAGTTATTATAATAGTTTGAAAAAATGATAGAGCTTATAACTAGTAACCTTAAGTACTTATATCTACGGCTTGTTACCCTAAATAAATGCTTAATACATTAATTTTTAATATTCCGGACCAAACAATACAAGGGCAAGGGTTTCACGTTGCTGTCCAACCATGTCTCATCTGAGGGTTAACAGAAGGTTATGTATAGTAGAAAGTAGATGTCACGTGCACATAATTGCATCTGAAATATTTTTTTCGAAGTTTACAAAGCCGGGTAATAGATAATGAAAGAGAAGAGAAGAATATTTAAAAGGAGAGATCGAAAAGATAATGAT